CATCTTCTTGGACTCGTAAATGATGGTATCTTGATCTCAGGTAAATCTTGGAGAAGAAACTGGCTCCTTGAAGTTGACCGAAGAGATCGTCTATTCGCGTTAGAGGGTACCGGTTCTTAATGGTAAGCTTGTTTAGTTCATGGTAATCTATGCACATTCGGAATGATCCATCCTTTTTTTTCATGAACAGGACCGATGCTCCTCAGGGTAAGAAGCTCGGTCTAATGAATCCTTTGCTGAGCAGTTCGTTTTGTTGGCTGGATAGTTCCTGCATCTCTGATGGTGCAAGACGATACGAGGATTTGGCTACGGGGGTAGCTCTGGGAATCAAGTTGATTCAGAATTCGACTAGGCGTTCAGGAGGAACTCCTGGGAGATCTTCGGGGAATACATAAGGGAAATCACAAACTTCAGGGATATCCTTGATGTTTTTCACTTCTTGTGTCTTATTTACCACGTGAGCTATGAAGGCACAATAATCTTTGCGAAGATACTTCTGGGCCTTGACGCAAGAAATGATTTGAAGATTCGTACCGGGTTTGTCGCCATAGATAACGAGAGATTCGTTACTTGGCAGATTAAGACGAATGATTTTTTTCATAACATAGGATATCAGCACGGTGAAGACTTAACCAATCCATGCCGATGATAATGTCGAAGCTTTTAATTGAGACCGACATAAGGTCAATTTGGAAAGAATAGTTGTTTAGAGTAAGTGTGCATCCTATGTATATGTCGTTTGTGCTCTCGGTCTTTACGTTTGCCATCTCTACGGTAATGTGTCTTTTAGTGATTTGGGATTTTGCTTTAGTAGATGTTTGAATTCATGGCTCACGAAGCTTTTCTCCACACCACTATAAAAAAGAATGCATACGTAAGAATTGTTGAGAAGAAACGTACCGGTAACCACGGTAGGATCTGCTATCGCTTCTTCATGACCAATTGCCAAAACTCTTCCAACACCGCCATCATTCTTTGTCTTTGGGCAGTCTCTCTTGAAGTGCCCGGTTTCACCACACCCATAACAGGCTTGACTTACTCCCACGCCGGGGACTTGGGAGATGGGTTGTGCTGGCGCTTTACAAAAACGGGTAGTGTGCCCCTTCCTGTTGCAGTTTCTGCAGTGCATTTCCCTGCAAACTCCCGTGTGATGGAAGTTGCACCTATTACACTTTGGCAAAGTTCCAACATATCGACTCGGGGTTGCTGGAGTAGTAGAAACAGTAGTAGGAATAGAAGCAGGAATAATAGCGGGAACAGTAGCAGCATGTACTGCCACAGTTTGTTGCTTCTTTGAAGGCTCTTGTGACGATTGCCCCTTTCGTTTGTACCAGAACTTCTTTTTGCTGCCTCTTTCTTTAGGTTGTTCAGATTTGGCTGGCATGGAGCCTTGACGAACTCCATGATATACAAGTGTCTGTTTTAGACGCTTGGCACTATCAAAAGTATCTGGATTGGCAGCTATAACGTTTCCTTGAGTTGGGGGAGTTAATCCCCAAATATACCTTTCCACCTTCTTACTCTCCGGGGTGACCATCCCGGGACACAGAAGAGCTAGGTCACTGAATCTAGCAGTGTAAGCAGCGATATAAGAGTCCTTCATCTTCAGACTCCATAGCTCCTGCTCTAATTTTTGTATCTCGCACCTCAAACAATATTCTGCCAGCATCAGAACTTTTAAGTCTTCCCAACTCATGGCATTGGGTACTGGGAGAGATAACGACTTGACATAGTCATTCCACCAAGAGAGAGCTCTATCCAAGAAAGTGCATGCTACAAATTTTACTTTGCTAGCTTCAGGACACGCACATATTTCGAACACCGATTCGGTTTTCTCGAACCAACGTGCTAGAGCAATGACACCTCCGGTGCCATTAAAGGATTTGGGTTTAGCATTCATGAAGTCTTTATAAGAGCACTCCCTTGGGTGTCCAAGACTTTCCCCGTAATTACAGTTGTGGGCACCACTACCGACCCTACTAGTACCACTGGCGTTAATTTGCATCATATCAGCAGCCACGGTGATTGTTACTATTGCTTGGAAGACAGCAGGGTCATACTGTGGAGGTGGTGGTGGTGGTGGAATTGGTGGATTGTTGTTGAAACACCTATTTTATTTACATGGCGGCATCTTTTTCTATAAAGTTTAAAGAGGAAAAGATGATAAGTCCTCTATAGTAGTTACGAGTTAGGTGATATTGAACAAGATATATCTTAGTTCTAAACGTATCATATCCTGACTTTCATAGTGTTCTGTGATTTACAATAGCAGTTTACTAACATAAGTAAACAATTGCAATTTCAATTTATGAAATTTATAGCAACACTTCTAAGGAATTTGTATAATATGACTCATACTGGTCCCCCCCTATAATCACATAGTGTATACAAATTATATGTAATCAAAACTAAATAGACATTCGAATAAGTGATCCTACTCTAAGTCCACAACCAAACAAGGAATATGAAATAAAGCTAAATCACAAATTCTAAGTCTATAAAATCTTAATTATATATAACTCTTACGTATACACTTAGTAATTATAGATCTACCAGTAAGAGCCCTTTGTTTTCACATGTTTGTTTCTAGTAAGAATGACCTTCTTGAATATTGTTGCTCCAGTGTTATAGTGTCATAAAATACTCCTATAGTATTTTAACGTTATGTTTGGTTCTAGAGTTCTTCTGGTATATAGATTTGGTAAGTTTTAGACTTGTTGCAACACCATGATCACTCCCACACACATGTTGGTCGTGTCTCAAATAAATATAGTTGATCAGGCTATATTTATCCCAGATACGATTACATAACTGTCCAGGTTTAACTGCAGTGTCTAACATCTAAATACTTTTATGTAGTTCTCATTGTGATATTGTTTCTTGTATGTATACATGTTAGTATACTTCTTATAAAATACTTAGATTTTAAAAGTATACTTTTAGTCAGAGCGCTTCAACCCCATTGTATTTATAGTTGTATATTTTTTGTGGTTTGATATACTTAGTTCACTATAAACAATGCTCTGATACCAATCTGTCACACCCCTAAACCGGAACGGCGGAAACGTTTGGGGGCGGATGACGTCATGTACAGTATCACAAAAATTGCATAATAGTAATCAAAGTACAACAACCATTACATTGATAAAGTATAGTTTTACATTCGTGTTCAAATCAATGTATACTTGACACCAAAATGTATAGAAGATGTTAAAAGACGTGAGTCTATGAAGCTTCGTCTTCTCAAAACCTGTGGATACCTGTTTACTGATTTTCCTGAGAATACAAGTAATTTTGAAAAGAGTGTCAACAATTAAGTTGTTGAGTTCATAAGCATGTTTGTAATTGAAATCTGTCATTTGTTCCTTGAAAATGTAAGTATGTTTTTCCCAGAAAATCCTATATTTTCTGTTGTAATTGTGTTGTCGTCTTAATACCCTAAGACCAAAACATGTAAATGTTATTGAACTCTGAGATAGTCTAATGTAGTTTTAATTCTTATAAAACCATGAAAAGTATGTTTTCTCTGTACTTGAATTGTATTATGTATTTGTACTTCTATAAAAACTGTGTAATTGTAAGTGCCTGGATTCAGCAGCTGTACTTGTAAAATATTGTATTATAGTTTTATTATTTAATAAAACTATGTGAAGTTGTTTACTTATTCATACACTAATCGTATTGTTCAATACCAAATTGTGAGTTATCATAACCATGCTTGATGACATAAGATGGCCTGAACACGACGTTCTTCAGGCGTCGCAATCGGTACGACATTTGTCACCCAGGTCTGACGGCCTAACTTTAGCGAACAGTTAAGGTGCGGAATTGTCAGTCCTGTATCGATCTATACACAAGTGTCACGCTCTCCCTCCAGGACACTATGATTATAATTTCAGGACTTGGCTGGTACTTAGAAAAGTACATGAAGTGTGTCTCACAAATGCTATATTGACGGTTACGTGTAGAATAATGAAAAATTACTTTGTAATGGATAAACTATAAGTATATCTCATAAACTATATTTATTATAGTTTATATATTTGTTTTCCATTATAGTTTATATGTATGTGTTCTACTGAAACGAAAACCTTTGTATTGTTAATAATTCGACAAGTTTAAATCGTAAAATCCGTGATACGGTTGTTCCGTGAAATTCAACATTTATGTCCAAATAGTACTAAAATAGATTGCAAAAATAATATTTTTGTTTAACAAGTTTTAAATGGTTTTATACTTATATAAATATAATTTTTATATAATTATGATTAAATAGACAGTCGAATAAATAATTCTACCCCAAGCTCACAACCAAACAAGGAACAGGAAATGGAGCAAAATTATCAATTCTAAGCCTCTTGAACCTTAATTATATAATTTATATATAATATAAATATATGTTTTTAATAACGGTAACGATTGACAAAATATTGAAAACATTTAGATATTAACACAAAATTTCTTGTGTTACACTTGTATTCCCCCCCTAAAACAGTGAAAAATTATGGAAACGTAGGGGTATGAACTCACATTGAGTGCGTGTTCTTGGTTGGTTACGATGTGGTTGTGATGATTCCCAGGTTAAAACACGTTTTAACAAATGTATCATGATAATATTATACACACGATATTGTATTTAAATTAGTGAAATAATTAATAAAGTGTTATATTAACACTAAATAATATATGACATTTACCAAATAAATTCCTAAGCATTTATTTGAAGGTTGCTTCCTGGAAAAATATTTTTGAAGCTTATGATAATTGAGAGGATTCTTGTGGGATGTTTGGGACGTGAATGTAATTTGTGAAGTATATTTTCGGTTTAAGCATATAAATATGAACTAAAAAGGTAGGCGGTTAAGGTGATTATCACATTGGGAAGCACAATATAACTTGATATTTTGGAGTTTTCGGCCATAAAGTGACCCAAAAAAAAGAGATTTCGGTGCATGTTCTCAGTCTCACGATAGGATCTCGGTCTGAGAGTTTGCGGTCAAATGGTTCTCGGTCCGAGGGTTTGCGGTCAGCTGTTTGCGGTCCAAAGAAGAATCCCTCGCACGTTTGCGGTCTTGACCGAAAACCCGATTTCGGTCCGAGGAAAGTGGGGCCTGCGAAGGTTTTCGGTGGTGATGACTTCGGTTCGAGTCCCGTGGTGGACATAGGTGGAATTAGGTGTTAATTTAGGAGTAGATTATAATATTTGTATTTGCCGGCTCAAAAAAAATAATTTAATTCTAAAAATCAAAACACATATATAATAAAGTTATTTCCCTTAAATTAAATCAAATAATTTTAATTATTTGACTGGAAATAACGGCTTGTTACACCTACGTGCGAGATTCACATTTCCAATTTGAATATTTAATTGGGGCATTGATACCACATAAGCACATGAAATGGATGAGACTAAACATATCATATAAACAAATAGTTCTCGTATCAGGAGTCCCATAAATATCTAAAAGTTATGTAGAGACCAACTGGTAATTGCTACCTATTATTTAAATATATTGTTGTATATCTGATCAACATAACACAATAATAAGTATTCAAGGCGAGTGTTAGCCTTTATTAAACTAAGTTTGATAAAAAACACAGGGTGACCAATTTATAACAGACTTTAATATGAAAAATACTAAAAATGAACTTTCTTAATCTTTTGCAGTTGTTTATTAATGAAGTAGTTGATTTTTGTCCCTATAGCTTTTTTATGTCATCATTTTTTGAAAGAATGTTTGTGGGAGTGCATATGTAGCAAGGCTTTGCTTCTTTTGAATCTAGCTACATAAGATCATTTGGTATGCTTGTCACGAATCATTTCGTGGTCTACTTGACCACTAACCACAAATATGAACACCATCCTAAATGTTTGTAGTGATTAGTGGTGAAACATTTTCGTGGTTATTTATGGTGAGGACCATGGACCACCACACCCCAATCAACTTGTTTTTTTTTCTCTCTCTCTCTATATATATATATATATATATATATATATATATATATATATATAATTTTAATAATAAAAAAATAAGAGGAATATAATGGTGAGTATCCAAACCTTTTGGTGGTTGAATGTAGTGATGACTTAACATCGAGCAGGTTAATGGTGAGTATAACGGATGAAATTAGCATTGAAATTCACATGTTTCTATATAAATCTCGTTTAGTTTTTTCTCAAATGTTGGAACGTCTTGAACCCTAAGAAATCTTGCTACACATATTCATCTCTTGACAGTGTAAACATTGATAATTGTTCCGTAGAACTTGCATGTTTTCCATAGTGCCCCTCGTTCGAGTTGTGTGGAAAGTTTTGGAAGTTGAAAGTGATAGGTCTAATTGCATAATAAGAGACCAAAAGGAGTATTTATGTAAAGATCAAAATTTTAGGGGAGTGAGTGAAAGTTCTCGGTCTCCGATAAGAACTTGTCGTGAGTAGAATGAGGTGTGCATTTAATTAGTCGACCTTTTTCATGTTTCTCGATAAGAGTAGGCTTTACTGAAAACGAAGAAAGGCTAATCCGTAAATATATCCAAAAACAAAGGGCATTTTCATGAACCTAAATATCTCCAGCAAAACTCAACATAACATTGAAGGCCAAGATCAAACAGACACACATTCATATCTCTCGAACCTTCACACATTGAAGAAAATAACGGTTTTCATGATTTTGATTACTCCATTTTCAGATTTTTGAATCTCTACACTGTTCAATATTCGTTACATATTACGGTATTATTCATCTCTGGATAGATGTACTTGCTGTTTTGTTGAATATTTAATTTCGTAGAAGTGATATTTTTTGTCGAATATTCGTGATTTTTCACCTTTTACAGCATTGATATTAATGGAAATTTGATGCTGTGATTGTGTTTGACCGAGAAATTCAGTGCATGTCTGTATGTACGTCAGTTACGTTGAGTCGTCTCTTCAAGTGTTTGCTGTTTTTTGTTTGTATGTTCAAACTGGGTATGAAATTGAATGCGTGAGGTAGAGTGTTTTTTATCCTTGAAGTGTGATTTTTATACTAAAATTGTGTGGATGTTGAAGGATCGAGGTGATCGTGAGTGGCCACTGTAAAGTCATATCTGTACTAAAGCGAAAGCTACAAACACAGAGGCAGTGATTGATTGTCATGTCATTTGATTACGTTTTTGTTAGCAGTTTTGTTTTCTTGGAATCGAGAACTTTATTGTCACTGGATTTAAGATTTCACTTTCGATTTCTATTCTAATCACTGATTTCCAATAATAGGTAGCGGAAAGCAGGGTTTCAAATTTCTTCACAACAGAGTTCCGATTTCCGAAAAGATCCGTTGGTTTTTTGGACGAAGAGCTCAAATCAGCTGAAATCTACTTTATAACCACATTCAAACTTTGAAGATTGTAAGAACAATGCACGAACAGTTGGTGTCGTATATCATGTGCTTGAACACAGTCCATTGACAATTTTGGTCAGGTTCCAGAGATCTATTTTTGGAATCATTTGCTTAAAACATTACAAATTCGGAATATCCTATAGCAAATTTGGTGAATACGAACTCCCACGCCTGTTTTGATTCCTTTCCAAGGGTTCTTTCATTATTAGAAAAAAAAAACCTTTACCGGTGAAATTGCTACCAGTCAAAAGGGTTTTTCCCCTAATTTTTGGAGGTATTCACCTAAACCGCTGTTAAACGACAGCTTGCATTTTTCTACTCGTACGTCTACCAGGAATCAAAACCTTGTGGTGGGGGCCGATTGACACAAACACAATAATGCAAACTCAGTTTTGTTTCCAGTTAAAGTTTGTGAAACACCTTGCAACTTATGTTCCGTTGTCCTTTGAAGAAATTATGGGAATTTGTGTGATGTAGTATTATCCGGGTCGGATCTATTGAAGAAGGAATATCTTCAAAATCGAATTTTATTATTATTTCTGGGATCGATGAGTCAAGAAGATAAGATGAAGAAACTAGAAAAGGGGTCGGATGCTGCTGAGAAGGTCGTTGTTGCTGTTAAGGCATCTCGAGAAATCCCCAAGACTGCTTTGGTTTGGGCTTTGACTCATGTGGTTCAACCAGGGCACTGCATTACATTGCTTGTTGTCATGCCTACACAAACTTCTGGTAAATTTAATCTCTTAATTTTAGATTTTTTTTTTCTGGAAACGAAAATTATATCTTCTAAACCCTCATATCGATTACAATTCTTGATGGAATTGCATATAATCAAGTTAATTTTGGTCGACTAATCCGTTTTTCTCCAAAGTAGGTCGGAAATTATGGGGTTTTCCAAGATTCACCGGAGACTGTGCTAGTGGCAACCGGAGGTCAAATATAGGAACAAGTTCAGACCAAAAAATCGACATTACAGATTCATGCTCCCAAATGATTCTTCAGCTTCATGATGTTTATGATCCTAATAAGGTTCTTGTTCTTTCTTCCAATCCGAACCACTTAATATTTAATAATCTTTTTTTTTGTTAATAAGTAATTAACTTCTATTCTCTAATTAATATTTTACAGATAAATGTGAAGATTAAAATCGTTTCTGGATCACCATGTGGATCAGTAGCAGCTGAGGCCAAGAAAATTCAAGCCAGCTGGGTTATATTAGACAAGTAAGCGAATTTAATATTTAAAATATTTTAATTTCTGATTTTTTTTCTTTCACTTACTTTTTACTCCATACATTACAGAAAACTGAAACACGAACAAAAACGATGCATGGAAGACTTGCAATGCAACATTGTAATAATGAAAAAATCACAACCAAAAGTTCTTCGTCTAAATTTAGTCGGGTCACCAAAAACCCAACAACCCGAGCCAGACCCATCACCACCTTCCACAAATCAATCATCTCATGAAAAACAAACAAAAAACAAAAACCTCGATTCAATTCGATTATCAGTTGTCACTCCAACAAGTAGCCCAGAAGTATTCACAGCAACAGAAGCCGGAACTTCATCTGTCTCAAGTTCCGATCATGGAACTTCACCATTTTTTCTCCCTCAAACTACTCACAGTCTATTAAAAAAGGAGAAAGGAAAAGAGAATCACAATGACCTAATCGAATCAAGTTCAGATTCCGAAAGTGAGAATCTTTCATCAACATCATCAAGCTTAAGGTTTCAATTTCAACCATGGATGGTTGACATCATCACTCAAAATCAAAACAGAACATTATCAAAAGTCGATCGTGACAGCAACCATGGAAGCCATAGAAGTGAAGTGGAATTCAGTGGGAATGTTAGAGACGCGATATCTCTATCATCTAGAAACATCCCATCGGGCCCACCTCCTTTGTGTTCAATATGTCAACATAAGGCGCCGATATTTGGAAAGCCACCAAGGTGGTTTACTTATGCTGAGCTGGAGCTTGCGACAGGTGGATTCTCACAAGCTAATTTTTTAGCTGAAGGAGGATTCGGGTCAGTTCATAGAGGGGTGCTGCCCGACGGGCAGGCAGTTGCTGTAAAGCAACATAAGTTAGCAAGTTCTCAAGGGGATCAAGAATTTTGTTCAGAAGTTGAAGTGTTGAGCTGTGCACAACATCGGAATGTTGTTATGTTGATTGGGTTTTGTATTGAAGATGGAAAGAGACTCCTTGTTTATGAGTATATATGCAATGGGTCATTGGATTCTCATCTTTATGGTAATTCCAAAAATACCCTTTTCATTAATGGTCATTTTTTTTTCCCGTAACTTTAATAATCTTTTTTAGGTCGTCACCGAGAGCCTTTGGAATGGGCTGCCCGGCAGAAGATTGCGGTCGGGGCTGCCCGGGGACTCAGATATCTTCATGAAGAATGCAGAGTGGGTTGCATTGTGCATCGTGACATGAGGCCAAATAATATTCTTATCACCCATGATTTTGAGCCTCTGGTATATTTTTATTTTAAATAAATACTTGTAAATGTTAAATTTTGAAGTAAAAGAACTGAATATAATTTTAAAAAATAAAATAAAAGGTAGGGGATTTTGGGCTGGCGAGGTGGCAGCCGGATGGAGATACCGGAGAAGAAACGAGAGTAATCGGGACATTTGGGTTAGTTTTTATAATTCTCTCTCTTGTGATTTTGCATTTCTCCATAATATATTTTTTTATGATATGGTTAAATTCATTAGTGATTACAATGCCTTGGTTTTTTTTATAGATATTTGGCTCCTGAGTATGCACAAAGTGGGCAGATAACGGAGAAAGCGGATGTATACTCGTTCGGGGTTGTATTAGTGGAGCTTGTTACGGGGCGCAAAGCAGTGGATCTAAACCGCCCAAAAGGCCAACAATGCCTCACAGAATGGGTATTTTACCTATTATTTTTCAAGGCAACCATTAAATTATTAAATTTAATTAATTAATTAATTATTTATTTATTAGGCACGACCATTGTTGGAAGAAGATGCAATCGATGAACTAATTGACCCACGATTAGGGAACTCATATTCAGAAGAAGAAGTTTACTGTATGTTGCAAGCTGCTGCTTTGTGCATCAAAAGAGATCCACAGTTACGCCCTCGCATGTCACAGGTAAATACTAAAATAGTAAATACTATAACTTTTTTGCTGAGTTGGCGTGGATTTATTTAATTGGTTTTTTTTTTTAAATTATTTATAGGTGTTACGGATACTAGAAGGTGATATGATCATGGATTCGGGTCATGGGTATGATGTTGGAAACAGAAGTGGGAGGATTTATATGGATCATCAACATGTACAACATAACGGGAATGAAACGAGCGAGATATATGAAGGATTTGGTGGAAAGGTTTCGGTTGATTCAACTCGGGCTTCTTATTGGCAAAGGGAAAAAGCAAGGAGGACTTCATCTTTATGTGAGGATTTAAGGTAAGGTAAAGGAGGTTAGATATGTTGAAACCAACTTATTTGTCATCATTATGATTTTTGTGGGTACAGGACATGATTAGTTTTAGGGTTTTTGTAATTCATTCTCAACGAAAAAAAGTGCACCAAGTTGGGTACCTAATTGATTTGTAGCTAGAGGCTATGACATCTAATTCAACACGAATTCGATATGAGATAGATAGGTTTAAGTAAAATATTTCAATCCGTCCACTTAATTAAACGGGTGATATTAGAGTTGAGAATTTCAACTTGAAAATGACTCATTATTTATTGAAAGTTTTTTTGAAATTTTTAAATAAACTAGAAAAACCCGTTACCAAACCGTATGTACTATAAAAACCTTGGATTGAATCATTTTATAATGTGCAAAGTGCAAACGATTTAGCAGCCTAAATCAAGACTTCATTTTTAATTTTTTTTGTTCTCTCCCAATCCCAAAATTTATAGTTTCTCAACCATTCCATCCTCCTTAAGATCCTTCCGGATTGAATCATTTTATAATGTGGAAAGTGCAAACGATTTAGCAGCCTAAATCAAGACTTCATTTTTAATTTTTTTGTTCTCTCCCAATCCCAAAATTTATAGTTTCTCAACCATTCCATCCTCCTTAAGATCCTTCCATTCTGTCTCCTAACTCCTATTAGTTCTATTTTGTCATCTAAATTTATTACGAATTTTCTGACTCCCAAGCTACTATTTTTTCAAAGTTCTTTCCTTTTCCCTTTCCTCCTATCCAACAACTATTTTTTTTTCAATGTGTTTAGTATTTCTACTATTTCAAGGTGCAACCTTAACCCCAAACTAGACAAGAAAAATAAATAGATTTACACGAAATTATAATTAAACGGTGAGATTAGAGTTAAGTTTTCTTAAACTTATTTTATATTTTGACATGATACATTTGTCAAGTCTACCTACCTATAAGTGAAAATCGAGACTCCCAAATCTCGAGGCATGGCCCAAAATTAGTTATAAAGGCCTGTTTTTTAAGAGGGCTGGTTGCGGGCCCCCTAAAAAGTTCCAAATGAATTTAATTAAATAATATTTTTATGATTTTCTAACTATCAAATATCTTTTTATCTTTTTTCAGATTATAACAATTACCATATTAATAAAATTAATAAATTTTTATTACACATATCATCATCTAAAAATAGTAAAATGATGAGTAGGAAAAAAAATAAAAATATATTTAATTTCTCTAAATAATTTGCTACGACAATTAAGGTCAATGACCAGTTGTAGGATGCCCGATTACATATTTATATTTTGAAATTAAATATTAGGAAAACATCATAAAACACATATTATTATAGGTTAATTAACGACAATGCTATTATATTCTTTTTGTGCCTATAAAAATCCTTTATTTTTTGAAATCTTCTATTATTTTGTTACGTTTTTTCCCTTAAAGATGTTTATAATAAACTGTGTTTATTTTTTGGTATTGCAAGACATTTAATATATGTTTTTCTGTTTAGATTGAGAAAGTAAGGGACTTTAAATAGTAAAAAAACAAAAAAAAACTTTAACATATAGGATTTGTGGATGTATTGAAGTTATGGGAGAGTTTTAATAAGCATAAATTTAAGGGAGAATTTCATATATATCCTTAGCATACATCTAAATATCGTATTTGCCCGATCTAAATTCTGAATATCGTATTTACATTTATTAATATTTTAAAATTTCGGATTTGCCCAAAATCTATTTTTTAATAGTTTTAACATTTAATAATCATTTTTCTATATTATTAAATCATTAAAATTAAAATAAAAAGTGACTGGACCATAATACCCTTACCTTCTAAAGTTATTTTCTGCAACTTGCGACTGCAGACTAGAACCTACGTCTCTTTTTTCTTCCTTCTTGTCGCTGTGACTTTTCTGTTTCTGCCCTCTTTTCGCCAATCGTTTTTCAATTGATTAGTATTAGTTAAGTTTATGTTTTCATTGGTTAATTGAATATTCAATTTCATGATTAAAGTACAGATAGTGGTTTTATTTGTTAATTAAATATTCAATTTCGTGAAGTATGGATAGCTTCATTTTTAAGTTGTTTGTCAACATTTTCATTTTCCTTGCTGGCAACAAGTTCCTCCAACTCTTTTTCATCTTCAAGAACAATTCCACAAATTCAAAGAATTAAATTGAATTACGAAAAGCACACAATTATAGCAGGGAGATTAAACTTATGGTTCCTAATTGTTTCTTATGATGTTTCCAACTTCTGAGATTAAACTTATAGTTCGTCGTTTTCGTGATGGATTGTGGTTGCTCCGGTGGCTGATCTGGAAGCTCTCCACGACCATTGTCGTGGAGAGTATAACAGATGGTCTTAGGG